CGTTTTTTACTTTAGTTAATGTTGAATGCTTTGTTGAAAATTTTCACACTATTATTGAATTAAAATATTATAGAATCATAGTTGCAATATTTTAAAATACAATTTTATAGATGATAGAGGCGAAAATAATAGATCGTAAATGCACACTGAAATAAGTATTGAAATATGCGAGTTTTTATGCACTGAAAAAATGGATGCTTAGAGAAAGTTGTTAATTCTTTTACAGGCTAAAAATAATAATAATATAAAACAAAAAAGAGAACCTTTCAATATAAAATATCAATAATAAGATAATAAACGTTCAGTGCCTGTGAGGGAAATCTATTGATAAGCTTTTAAAAAAAGAGTCCCTCTGCTGTGCTTAGTCAGAAAATATTCCTATATAGTTATTTCAAGAGTTAATTGGATACGACCCTGCTAATCGTTGCTCAAAAAAACTATCATCGGCGACCGACGTAAATGTGGTAAATAAGAGTCTTAGGCCCCTATTATGAGTTGCATTCGATTTTCGACTGTGGTCGAAAGTGCTGAGCGAACGAATTTTCATTTGGTATTATGGCGCTCATTCGATGAAGAATAGCGCTATTGTGAATTTCGCTCGTTTAGGTTGTTCACAATAGTATATTTTTCACCGCTGAGAAGCTTTGTTTACAAATCGAGCAAACTAAATATTGTGCTTATACATATTTATGTAAATTTGTTCTAATTAAAATGAAGTAAAAAAGAAAGCAAGTTTATAAAAACGTGGTAAAATGAGTACAACGAGTTCTGGTTCAACGATTCGTCAGAGGATGAGAGCTAAGTAAACTGGCCAGGAGTAGCAAATGTTTAAGAGAGTTTAAGTTTGTTAGTCTTTCGAATATATTTTGATATAAAATATATTTAAGAAATTTGTCTACAGATTCATTAAAAAGTTCCGACCATCTAAAGAGGCGTTTGTGAGCCAAATTTATTTAAAATATTTTAAAACTATCAACAGCGCTACGATTTTGTTCTCAGAGATCGTGCCAACAGAGTATTGGGATTTTCTTTCACAAGTAAAACCAGCCTTTCGAGCTTGTGTTTAGTATTCAAGATGTTAGAACTGCATGAAATTAATAAAAATTGTTTAAAATTAATGTCTAGCCGCCAAAATGTAAGAAAACATATACAAAATCATACATTTTCCACAATTTTCTAACACTTCGCTACACCATCGAAAGCAAAATTCTGTTCGACAGAAAATTCGATACTCAACGAAAATTTCGACACGCTTGCATAGCTCATAATACGAATTTCACTTTCGATCTTCGATCTTCGATAGCCAGCGAAGATCGAAAATCGAATGCAGCTCATAATAAGGGCCTTAATGTCAAAACCTCGAACGGGCGAATAGTTTTTTTTTTGAGCTTTTTTTGATGCAAAAAAGCACACTAGATGTCACCACCCAATGCCTATGTAGAAGAATTGTTCGCTGATTCTTAAAATCTAATTGATTGTTTGTCTATAGATCGATTTTCTTCATTAGTAGCTTAATTTTTTTGTAACAAGTTTAACACAAATAAAAAAAATTAATATATTTTCTCAGCTAAAGCTTGAACTTTTTTAATTTTTTCATAAAAAATGAAATAATAAAATCTGGAACGATTTATTAATTTCTCCGAAATCATCAGGCCAATCGAACAGTGATATACAGTGACTCAAACAAATGACCTTCTTCAAATATTCGTAATGTTATTCGAGATAATTTTTTTGTTATTTTTATATAAAAATATCGTCTAAGCTTTAACTAAAACCGTGTAAATCACAATTTCAAACTTTATACAAAATCTAGGAAAATTCAACAAATTTTCATAAAATTTCAACTTTTTATTCTGAATTTTTAGAAAATTTTTGCAAAGTATGCAGTTTAGAAAAGTATGCAGTTTTATAGCCCAAACAATTTGAGTCTAACGAAGTGCAGGTTTTAAACGACTAAAAAATCGCGTTGATTTTTGAGAATTTTTTTTGGAGGCTACTTTTTCGGGTTTTTTTAATATAAAAAGCGCAATTTACAAAAATTTGCGTTGATATTTTGAAATTTTGTTGCTGACGGTCTACTGCATTTTATTTCATAAGAAATTCATACTTATATGAAATAAAGTGCAAAAATCCGTCACCAAAAAAAAATTCTCAAAAATCAACTCTATTTTTTAGCCGTTTGAAACTTGCACTTTATTAGACTAAAATTGTCTGGGCTATAAAACTGCATACTTTTCTAAACTGCATACTGTGCAAAAATTTTCTAAAAATTCAGAATAAAAAGTTTAAATTTTGATGAAAATGTGTTGAATTTTCCTAGATTTTGTATAAAGTTTGAAATTGTGATTTACACGGTTTTGGTTAAAGCTTAGACGATATTTTTATTTAAAAATAACAAAAAAATTTATCTCGAAAAACATTACGAATATTTGAAGAAAATCTAAACGTGGTCATTTGTTTGAGTCACTGTATATAGGTTTATAGAGAATTTCGTTAGCTTTAATAATATATGTACGTGATGAGAGGGAACCACTTTTTTAAGCTGATTTAGGGTAAATTTAAAATATTTCGAAAACTAAATTTTTGGAATCAACGAGCGAACAAAAAACACAAATTTGTGATCCAGTGTAATCTATTCAGCTATAACTATACATGATTCTAAATGAAACAAATTTTCAGAATGGGGAGCTTCAGTTAACAGAGAAAAGGTGAAACTACACAGTCCAGTCTATAAGTGAATTTCCAAGCTCGCAATTAAACTGAATTCCAGAAGGGCGTTGTCCTCTGATGGCTGTTAATTACTAAGCAGACAGATGGGCAACAAAATTTCAAAAAAAAACATTTTTTTTTTTGGCTTCTTTGTTTACTGGGTCAGTCATTTCATTCTATGTTCTTCAAACATATCAAAATGAAACTACTCAAATGTGTGGTAGATGCAATGTGGTAAAAGTCCGAGCACTGGTTATACCATCATTATTTTGTTGAAATCCCTCCAAGTTTCTTTAAAAGTTTTGTGCTGCGATTGCATAGTTTATCAGGAGTTGTCCCACTGTCAAGGAACTGCGAGTATCTGCAGTTTTTTATAAATATAAAATAAAAAGGAGAATTCGTATGAACTTCCTGGGCCCAAAGCGCCTTATTTTAATTTTTTCTGTGATAGCAAAATAAAGTTACTATAAAAGTATTGTCAGAGCTTTAACTATGTTCATATAAATTACAGTCTCAAACCTTATTCTTTTCAAAATTTTTTCCTTTTAAATTTGAAATCTTTAAGGCAGAGTCACACGATTCGGCATTTATACAAATTTTCCCAATTACAAATGTTTACAAATTTTTTAATAGAAGCTTACTGTCTTGTACAGATGGTGTGACTGCAAAAAAAAAAAATGTCATCCCAATTTTTATATTTTGTACCCATAGCCAATACAAAAAGTTTTCGAATGTGTACAAATGTACCAATCGTGTGACACGGCCTTTAGATCATTAGAGAGTGCAAGTTTCAAGCGACTAAAAAAATCGCGCTGATTTTTAATACTTTTTTTATGGTGACGGATTTTCGCTCTGTTTTCCACGTATGCATGAATTTCTTACGAAATCAAATGCGGTAAATCGTTCGCTGCAAAATGTCAAAAAATCAACGCTAGTTTTTGTTAATTGCTCTTGTTATCTAAAAAACCAACGCAAAAGCCATCACCAAAAAAAAAAACATTCAAAATCAACGCGATTTTTTGGCTCGTTAGAGCTTGCACTTCACTGGACTAAAATGCTATGGGATATAAAATTGCATACCCAAAAATGTTCTAAATATTCAGATTAAAAAGTTGAATTTGTGATGAAAATTTTTTGAATTTTTCTGAATTCTGTATAACATTTGATTCTGTGATTTATATGGTTTGGTTAAAAAGCTTGGACAATATTTTTATGAAAAATAGCAAAAAAGTAAAAATAACTCGATAAACATAAAAATTAAAAAGAAAAATTAATCAACACGTGATCACTTGCTTGAGTCAGTGTATGTCAAATGTTTTCAAACCCATGTAGCGACCTCTTAGAGTAATTAAACAACTTGGAAAATTTCGAGGCTGGTTTTATGTATTTTACTCGTAGAATAGGTGGTCCAAAAAAAAATTCAGATATTGATATTTTTAGGACTAGCCTACTATATATGGGTGATTCCATACAAAATTTACAGCTTAATATTTTTTTTTTTGTGTGAAATAGCGAAAAAAGAAGACACCAATTTTTTTATTTCAACATTCGAAAATCTCGAAATAATTTCCGAAATTTTGAATTCACAAAGAAGTACTTTTTTGGAATTTTTTGCAGTGCCAACTATTTGTCGGAGAATATCAGTTAGGTAATCGATTGCTTCTTGCAATCTAAATAGTTGTCAAACTTTACGAAAGACTCTTTAAAAATTTGAGAATGGAATATAAAATAGGGAAGAACTCACAAAGTAGAATTTTTCGCAGTTAATAAACGATAAAGAATACAAAAAAAAAAATATTTCAGACTTAAAAAAATATTGATGTGATAATTTTGTATGGAATGACACATAAGTTTTGATTATTTTACACATTTTTTCGTCAAAGGCATATTCTTGCACATATGCTAACATCGACCAAAAATAAGGTCATAACGTTGAGGCAGCCAGGCCCATATATATGTATGTAAGGAAACCAAAGTTAAAACCACTCTAAAGTTTCTACTACACTACAAAAAAAAAAGTTATCGAATAAATTTCTAGTTCGTAAGTAGTTTGCACTTATAATTAGAAATACTCAGCAACTTCAACGTTTGCATTTGCGTAATCGATTTACATACATCAATAGTGAAATACTTTGCATTGCCAAATAAACAAACACACACATATTTACATAAACACCTTCACACATTTTCACTCGCTCAACAAAATAGTTGAAAACATGTTAAATACAACAAAAGAAACTTTTTTCTTTTAAAATTTCAAATCAAATTTTTACCGCCCCCCCCCCACCCAGGCTGTAAACACAAATACACGTAACAGAAGTCTTGGTCGTTTAAGAAGGCAGCCGCCCCGTCATGGTATTGGTAAGTTCTCAAAAAAACCGCTTTAAATAGTACCTATTCATAATTCTTGTTAAATTTCCTTAAAAACTTGTATACAATACGTTACAGATGCTATGCAACTACTAATTACTAATTACTTAAGTATTTAGTGTTAAAACTATGTCACTTAAAAATCACAAGTTATTGAAGAATTCTCAGTTTAAATTAAAACATTACTTGCCCGAAGTTACATAAGTAATGCATTCGCATTTTCACTTCATTTATTACTACATATTACTAACTAACTACTATTACACTGCTATCATCTTCATTATCACCAAATACAAACAACAATAATTTGCACGGAACCAACCACACAGACAGTCAAATACGCAATACCTTTCCATTTACATATATTTCGGTTTGGTAGAATTGCGTAAAAATTTTATTTTTCCATTCGTATTTAAATATGATTTCCGTGATATTTTCTCATGCTGTGACTAGTAAAATCCTTTAAACAAAATGTCGCTTGTCGCCTATGAAAAGCTGCGAGAATATTTATTGGAATTAAATTCATAAGTAGCGTAGTTAATATACCCTTCCTCCGCTATTCGATTTGCATGTTGCAGCGAGCATGAAATGCTTTGTAATTTTAATCGTATAATTTAAATATGGCTTCATACCCAAACGAATGGAGTAGTGCTGGTTGCAACATGCTTGTATCGTAAAGTTTACTGTTAACTGTAACCCACAACCTTTTAGAATTGGATAAACGTGTCATTTGAAGAGGGAATAATACTCGTATAAAAACCAATAATCGTCATACTAACTGCATACATACAGTCAGCGTCAAAAATATGAATACCATGACGTTTTGGCCATTTTTTTTTTTATTTATAATTTCCATACCAATTTTTTTATATTTTCTTATAAAAAGATAGTCTTTCATATATAACTCGGGAAAATGCAAGAAATACCACAAAATTTTCATCAAAGTTTTCAACTTTTCAATTCGATTTCTTTAGTATGCAGTTTTGTAGCCTATTAAATTTTAGTATGATTAGGTACAAGTTTCAATTCTCTAAAAATTACCGTATATTTTTGAGAATTTTTTTTCGAGGTTGTTTCGCATTTTCTACCACATAACGCATGAACAAAACCTATTTTTATATGGATGAAAATGCGCAACACCCGCGACAAAAAAAAATCTCAAAATTTAACGGCAACTTTTAAAGACTTGAAACTTCCATCTTGTCCACTAAAATTTAATGGGCTACAAAACTTTCTCTAAGAAATCCAATTGAAAAGATAAAAATTTTTATGAAATTTTTTTGGTATTTCTCGAATTTTCGCCGAGTTTTTCGCTGTAGAATAAACTATATTTTTATTTGAAAAAATTTACAAAAATTGGTATGGAAAATATAAATAAAGAAAATCGTTAGGGTATTCATATTTTTGACGCTGACTGTATGTATCACATTATATATAAAATATTTGTTTAACAATAAAAAGAAACAACGAATCATGTTGCTAAAATCGTTGAAACTTTTTTGCTCTGTTCTGCATATGCATTTGTTAACTAAAGGTAACCTTTCAAAAATTATGCCTAAGACAAATACTTCAGATCCAGCGGTAACAATTTCTCAACCTTCGGTTTACCACAACTCGGTCACAGAGCTCGCATTTGTGGGGCAACAAAACATTCGCAAACCCTCTCGCCCGGTGTGCGAAGCCGGATTAACGTGTAGACTAAGATTCAGCCCGACAGAGATCTTAAAATGCAAAAGTGGCTATTTAATCGGAGGTCAGACTCAGAAAGTCAGACCTTTGGGCATGGGTTGATCATTAACGGAATACAATTAGGAAAGACGAAAGTGAAAGTGAGTGAAAGATCGGCCTATCTTGGCAGCCGTTTCGAGAACGCTTTATCTCAGAAAATGGCTCAAGAACGCCCAACTTCAGAATTTGATTGAAAAACGGCCTACCTCAGAGTTCGGTTGAAAAGCGCCTTGTCTCAACTACATATAACGAAGATATGTTGCGACAGGGCATTTTTGAAACGGCAGTTGTAATAGTTGTATAAGTTGTAAGTTCTTCAACCAAATAGCGCATTCTTAAATATTTTTCTGAGATATTGCGTTTTCTAACTGCCTGCCGGGATAGTATTGAAGCAACTCAAGAGACCCACCCTGATAGATTTGGAAAAATCTAACACATTTGCGAGCTGTCTAAAAATTCTATTCACACCGCATAACTTTGAACCCCCATCCGAGACAAAAAATAAAGTCAATGTTGTATCATAAAATGGACACACTCATAAAAAATTTACTACACGAGAAGTAAATATAGCAATTATTAAATCAGCCAGCAGAGAAACGTACTTTTTGCCGACAGTGCAGTTTTCGTAAATTTTTCCTGAAATTTTTTAAAAATCTATCCGGCATTTTGAATATTTGAAAACTTTCTTCATTTTTGTAATTAGCGACTCAAAGAACCTTTGGATATCAAATTTCATAAAAATTTTAACATTTTTTTTAAAAAATCAATGCGCCATTATGAGTTTTTAAAAACTGACTTCAGATTCGGAATCGGAATTCCAAATCCCTTAGATGCGAAGTTGAGTTAAGTTTGAAAAATCACAAGGCAATATTCTGTTGGCCTATTCAGCATTGCGGTTGTTAGGGGTTGTTTTCCCCATGGAAACCATTAATGGCTTGATCTAGAAAAACGACAGATTTCGGGTACTTTTTGTGTCTCTACTTTCCGAAAAGGCTCGATTTTTTATGGGTGCAACAAAAAGTTTAATTTTGTCGGACGGTGTAATAGTGTCTTGATCATCACCCTTTACGAGTTCATGGAACCTCGAAGCTTCGCCCTATTCTATTTTTTCTTAAATAAAATAACATTTATCCTCGAAACGACATTGGATGACACAAGTTTTCGCAAAGTAGTAAAATGTTATTCTACCTTGGTTTTTAAGGCTTGGAAAAAAGTCTTAGAGGCCAGATCTAATAAAAGCAACAGGTGCGTCAATAAACCCGACTCTGATCGGGTGCATTGTCTGGGAGAACTTTTAAATGTCCTTATATGTATATAGATAAAAAAAAAACTCGCATCGTTCCATTTAGATAGACCCGGTTTATACACGCCTTCACGTCCTCAAATGCATATGTACACAGAGTAAATAAGTTGCCTGTAATCCCAATTCGAAAGTTTATTTGTACGATGAATAAATCCCTTGGCTCGTTATTAAGGTGTTAGCTGTTTCTTCACTCTATCTATCTAGTGTATGCTACTATAGTCTGCTATCCCTTTCGAAATTTATGCCGCCGACAAATTTTGCAATTAATCTCTGTTTTTTTTTTTCATTTCTCTTTTCTTTCTCTCATTACCAAGCAGTAACTCAGCACCGTTCGAATAGTCCAGCACAACACTCCAGTTCCGGCTCATCGCCGGTGATGTCAAATAGTAGTTCTAGTCCAGCGCCACCTTCCAGCAGTCCTAGTCCGCAGGAGAGCCCCAAGAATTGTAGTTACATTTACCGTGATTGATTGATATGTAATACCAAATCGATGCCACTAATCAAATCAGCAGCAGCAGCTGCAGGAGCAGCAGTAGTGACCACAATAGCCGTAATACAGCAAGCAAAAACTACAACAACCGCCACAATAGCAGCAAGTGTCAAGGGAGCAACAAGAGCAACCACAACAACAGCAGCAGCAGCAGCAACAGCAACGACCACAGCCACGCGCACCACGTCCGGCAAAGTGCGCACAACACTCGCCAAATCCGTACCAGTTACACCAGTACAACCAAAATCATCAGCTACACACTTCATATCATCATCGCCCGAATGGGATGGCGTTGATGATGGCGCAACAACGCAGGATGACCACTATAACAACTGCAGCGATTATCTGCCACATTCGTATCCCAATTTTACCTTCGATCTCTCCGAGGACGACTCAAATGAGATTGACGATGAATTGGAGTTAGACGACTCATCGCTAGCGATGATAACACCGCCACCACCCTACGTCGACACGCCACTACAATATGCACGCGCGCCACCACCGCCGCCGCACGCACAGCGTACAAGACGCGCTGCCACAGCGCCACCGCCGCCGACACGTAAGAAGCTCTTTCAAAATCGCGAAATATTCAATATAAATACGCCGACGATTACGCCAAGCAGCAGTAGCTTTGCCAGCGCAATAACGCCGACAAAATTGAGCGCAGCAGCGGCGGCTATGTTTGCGGCGCCACAAATGGCACAGCTAAATAAGAAATGGACGCAGTTGCATCGCAAGCGGCGACGACGGAATAGCAGTTCGGGTGATTCAAAAGAGTTGGATAAATTGGTGTTGCAATCGGTCGATTGGGATGAAAATGATATATATTGAGGGATGTGGAGAGGTGTTACGGCGCCGGTAAACGGCTGAGCGGCAACGGCAATGGCAATGGCGTTGGCGATGTTGACGGCGTGGCTGCTGCTTAAGCGCTTTGCTTGCATGGCTAAGCGTGGCGAAACTCTTTCATATACATACATACACTTTGCGTTTCTTGGCTTAATCGTAGATTTACTTTTTCCATTCGAAATACATATACATATATACAAGTACATGCATATACATAATAGTAATACATACTTATATACTCGTAATTTAAATGCATACAGCAGAAAGAAAGAAAGCAGCAAGTATGTACGTACATACATACATAGTTACATAAAATATAGTATAAGAACGCGCGATTAGGTAACAATAATAGAACAGCAGAAAGCAACAACAATACTGAAACATTTAATCACTTATGTAGAAAGCGTACATATGGAGCTGCGTTAAAAGCAATGTGGAACAAATTTGAGACTTGCGAAAAGTAAGCATTAAATAAAAAGACAAAAGTATAACTTTTTTTTCAATATGAGTATACATTCAAACATACATACATACTAAACTTCATACACAATAGATACTCTATCGACTGACAGCATTCGAGTATAACTATCAACACAAATGCAAACCCGACTGTGCGGTATTCCATGTCCTAAATAGACTGCATGTAAATGATTTTTAATTTTTTTATTCTTTTTATTTTTATTTTTTTATATATGTAATATGCATAGAAGAATTATGTAAATACGAATGTATACAAAATGTTCATACCTTTAGTATAACGCAATCAAGCAATTGTACGAGTAAGTGAATTTAGCCAGTTCGAAAATTTCGAATTTTATTAATTATTTTGTAATTTTTTTAGTTAAGAGTCGTAGCTAATAAACAGTCGTTTAAATATTTTTCATAAGTTTGCAAATTATGTTCAGAAATCATCAAAAGTTGCGCTCATTAAAAGATATACATACATATGTATTCTTTTTGCAATAAATCCGCAATTTTATACATACACGCATGCATGTACACATACAGGGACTCTAACAACAAAGTTTCTAAATTTATAAAAAATTTGAAATTTTTTTATATGTATTTACAATGTTTTTCATGTCAATTTTTTTGTTAATCTTTATAAAAATATTGTTCACACCTTCGCCAAAATCATACCAACCAATAATACAAACTATATACAAAATTTAGAAAAATTCATTTTTTTTAATTTTTGCAGTTTTTCAAGTAAATTTTTTTTTTTTTGTTAATTTTTATAAAAAAAAAACCTTTGTACTAAAATTTTGAAAAATTCAAAAAACTTTCAGAAAATTTCCAAGTCTTTAAATTGTATAATACATAAAGTGTACGTTTTAAGCGCATAAAACTTCGCCGGTGTTTATAAAAACTGACGATGATTTTTTTCTTTATTTGTTCTGTGAACGGTCTTGCGCATTTTCTTCTAGTAAGAAATTCATGTTTTAAGGCCTGTCTGCAACTGTCAAGAAAAACAAAAGCTCATATAAAATTTCGCACAAGAAATGGAAAAGAAATTTTCTTAAGTCAGTATGCAGCTTTATATGGAAAAAAGTGAAAAAACTGCCAGCAAAAAAAACAACGAAAGACAAAATATTAAAAGTCGACGCAAATTGTACGACGCTTTGTTATACTAAAATTTTATGTGCCATTAAACTGCATGCCGGAAAATTTTCTAAAAATTGATGGCCTTATTCATAAAAGATAAAGTAGGTTGAAAAAGCTTTATTTTTTATGAATATGGCTATTAGATTAAAAGTGAAAGTTTAATGAAATTTTTGTTTGTTTTTTTTCTAAATTTTACACAAAGTTCGTAATTTGGATTTGGTTATAGCATCAACAGTAATTTTATAAACAATTAACCAAAAACTTTAATTTGAAAAACATTGTGAATATGTATTAAAAAAAAATGTCACCACGTAAACAATTCTTTGAATCGCTGTATGTTTTAGAAGCTGATGTATAGACGAAAATTTGTGGAGACTTCCAGAACTCAAAAACATTTTCTAATATTTTCTAGTGGAGAGTACCTGAACTCAAAATAAGTTTCCTAACTTTTCCGCAGGTCTTTGCGGTAATTGGATTTTTGTAAGTTTTCGGGTTATGAGGTCATCTAGAATTTCATTTTTCGTTAAACTGACAAATCCGATCTATTCAGTGAGTGCTTCATTGCAGAGACAATCAAAACGTAATTTTGTCGAATTAAAATGATTTTAAATTTTTTTGGATTATCTTAAAACTTGTCTAATTTCCAAAGTAGAACAAAATAAAGCGTGTCCCATAAAATTCACATGTGGCTATTTTTAAAGACCACCGTAATATACACGCACTGAATACAATAATTGGTAGAAATTCGTATGCAATGATTGCACTTTCGTCGATTTCAAGAAAATCGACCTACGACTTTCTGAATAAGGAAGATTTTGATGATCCAAATTTCGTGACCCCGAAATTTCGGGTTTAGCATCACTTATGCAAATATAACTACCGACCGAATATAGCTCCCGACCCTTTAGTTGACGTATACCAGTTTAAACGATTACATTTTTTTGCATGAAACCCCGTAAACATTTCCACATAAAACTAAATCTCAGTTAAATATAATTTGGACAAGTAGTAATTTCTCTCCACAAATGCATTGGATTTTCACTATCCAGATGAGCGCTAAGAAGAGCAGACAAGTAGCCATTGGCGCCACGCTTGAAAACTAATTTAGTTAGGTAGTACTTCGTCCACTACTACTGGGCAAGTGCTTTGTAAAATATTTGAGTCGATATGAAGTTAGTTCTTTACGGGTATATTTTATAGGAATTTTTTTTGAGTTTCAAGTGCTTATTTTTAATTTTTTTATGTTTTTATTGACGGTTCTTTCGAAATTATGTATTAAAAAATTAAGCTTGGAGTAAAAATTATATTTTGTATTGTTTCATAGTCTGCTTTTGGGCGCTAAACAAGCATTATTAAAAATTATTAATCTGGTAAGTGTTTAAGTTAAATGATAAAATTTTTATTTGTAAGTACGTATAATGCTTTTAGTTCATTTTATTTATAAATGTAAAATGCCTTTAGTTTTATTTTATTTTAAAGAATTTTGTGTGTTTTTGTTTATTTGACGCATAGATTTATATATTTTATTGACTTTTAAGTTTTTTGTTTTAGTTTTAGTACCTTAATGTATAATTTTCAAACTGATTCTTTTACATTTTTGTAAACTAGTGCAATTAATTATTTTATTCTAAGCTTTTTAATTTAAGTTGAGTATACCAAAAAACGAAAAAGAAAATTGAACACCGAAATAAAATAGCGCTGATAAAAAATACCAAATGAAAACAGGAAATTTTATTATTGAAATTAACATTTTAAGTCGTGTTAGGGGATCACTCAATACAAGCGCCCAGCGTTGCAAGAACTGAGTGAATTGGGGACAGCAGCTAAAAATTTTAAATTTAAAAAAATGTTTGTAGAAAACAAATTTGCAAATTTGTAACTCGAATTGAAACGAGCCTATTATGAGCAGCATCCGGTAGAATATGTCAAGATTCAGAAAAGAAACGAAAAAGTCAAAGTAATAGATATAAAATTCCAACTCCTTTAAAATGGATTTTTGAGAAATTAAAAATAGTAATGGCTTCTTCAATAAAGCGTTAAAAAAGAGTACATATTGCTTTAGCAAGCAAGCACAAGTTTCTGATTGTCTCTACGCCTCAGAATTATCTCCTTGATATTTTAAACGAAATATGATTATAATAGTGTGTCTTTGAAAATCGCCAGCATAAGTTTTCTGTACCTAAATTTTGGAAATAGAAAGCAAGGGCGTCTAAGGCTATGCAATATCAATTTACTTTACTTTCATACCGACAAAATTTACTGAATTCCTATTACAACGCTTGAGAGGCCAATCCAGGTACCGTGAGAGAAAGGTAAGCCGATGCAGATTTTAAGGCAACATTGCTATCGCTAATTTTGATTGCCTAAAATCTCCAAAAGAATAGCAGGCCCGCCTCATAGCATGCAACATCTAAATAGTTACATGCCGCTCATACTGCCAAATTTGACTGATTGCATATTGCGTCTGTTACTTCTCCATGTTGTATACTTTTAGGCCACACTGCTTTTCATTTAGAAAATTTTGCGACGAAAATTTAGCGTAGCGACTGTCAGTATTCCACTACTGATGTTTGCTATAAATGGAAGTTTTCGGATACTTATTTAGTTTTTTTTATTTTAAATTTTGACGTATTTTCGCTTTTTTATCTCGATTGAAATATATTGATCTTGGTTTGTATTACTGGAGTTCTTATCATTTATAAAGTCTGCTTGAAGGGATTTAAAAAATTCTTTTATTTCCTAAGTTTTTTACATAATTTTTTTTTTGTTTTTTAGGTTGAGCGCAATCTGTTATTCAGGCCTATCACTGAACTCATCTAAATTAAAGAGACCACGTCAAAGTCAGTCACAAATCAATTTCTTCTTTGATATGCAATGTGTTTTTGCTCTACACAATTCTTGCCAGAAGGTCCAATGGTTAATAAAGAATAAAAATTTGTGAAAAAAAAAATTTCAAAATAAAAGCTTGTAACTATAGGCCACATTTCTTTAAAGGAAACTCATGGATTTTTTCACTCCTTATAACCCAATGCTATCATTCTGAGCGATCGATAGAAAGTTTAAAAGCTAACATGGTGCGACTCTCCAAAATACCTGAGAACTATTTTCTGGTGGTATGACCGACTTCCGATTTAGACCGGAAGTGAGTTTAACTGACCGGAAGTCAATTTTTTTAAATTTCGCATATGTGCATGTTTTAACTACAGATTCGGATTATGAGTAAAAAAAATACGTAACTTTTGTTTGAAACAATTTTCTCGGAAGTGCCTTTTTCAACCCCTAAATGACCTTCAAATTTAGCTCGTCCTGGACTTATTAAATGAGTGAAAATATATTTATTGGAAAACTAGGTCTTAGATGTTCTTTTTTTTTTGGTCTTATTACTGACTTCCGGTTCCGACCGGAAGTAGGTTAAATAGACCGGAAGTGGACTGTTTTAACCGAAAGTTTATTCCAGAAAAAATTTTCCGACGAAATGTATGGATTTTTGTCGGCGGAATCCGAATCTTTTGTAAAAAACATGTATGCCCTATTTAAAAAAAAATTTACTTCCGGTCAGTTTAACGCACTTCCTGTCGAAACCGGAAGTCGGTTAATTGACCAAAAGATAGAGCATCATTAACTTGGTGATTCTTAGTTTTTCGTTTATCAATAAAAACATTTTCGTATATATATTTCAAAAGTACAGTAGCTCGTTTCGGTATCTTCTCTACCGATTATTTCTCTACTGGTAGAGAATATACGTCATTCTCTACAACTCATTGACAGCAGAGAACAGAGCGGCGAATTCATATCTCAATTCGCCTTGGTAGAGAATTGTTACAGAAACGAGATACAGGGCGAGTTAAAGTTCGAAGGTCATTTAGAGGTTGAAAAAGGCACT